ATACAATAACAAACATGGTGAAAACTATTGTTCAGCCTATTACAGTAATAAAGATTTTCAAAATATTTATGCAATATCTATTGATATATAGATTTCAACATGATGAAATTCCTTATAGTCATGCAATTGTTGCTATCGGATACAATAACAAACATGGTGAAAACTATTGTTCAGCCTATTACAGTAATAAAGATTTTCAAAATATTTATGCAATATCTATTGATATATAGATTTCAACATGATGAAATTCCTTATAGTCATGCAATTGTTGCTATCGGATACAATAACAAACATGGTGAAAACTATTGTTCAGCCTATTACAGTAATAAAGATTTTCAAAATATTTATGCAATATCTATTGATATATAGTAGTATATTTAAAAGGTATAAAATAGTAATAATTATTGGTATAAAATAGTATATTTATATATAGTAGTAAAGTAATTATTGGTAAAATCATGGTTATGTAATTGATATATTTAAAAGGTATAAATTAGTAATAATTATTGGTAAAATGATGGTTATATATGTATGTTTATATATTACATGGTTGCATCTTTGGTGAAACTACGATGCAGTTATAATTGTGAAAACACTATGCATACTTGATGAAATCTACATGTTTTTTACCTAAATGAAAATAATGGCAAAAATGTGAGAGAAGGCTTCCTTTAATAATATGATTTGATTGAATAAAAAATTAAGAGAGAAAAAATCGATATATAGAAAAACAAAGTAATGTAAAAGAGTAAAATTGTGGTTGAAAAAGCCAAAAAAAATAAACAATAATTATCAATCCCATAAAATTAACACATAACCTCCCCTAAAAAAGGTAATAGATACCAAATATATTTTTAACAAATAAAAAATTAAATATTTTGTTATGTTTATAATTAAAAACTTAGTTTTGTAAATAAAAAAGAGTATATGTATATATTGTTAACTAAAGTCTTAAATAGTATATTCTTGTAATTTTCTCAATTTAATTGATTAAAATAAGTTTTTACTACACTACATTTTGTAGAGTTGCTAATTAATTAAGATTATTAAAGTTAATTATATGTTGTTGTTAATCAACTTAACCTAAATGGCGTAAACATATATTGTAGTCGAAAATGAGTTTTAACAGTAAAATAGAGTATCCCACTTATTTTGTCCAACTTGTAAATATTGTAATTTGTAAGAGAAAAAAGATTAATAACCTTCAATGTGTTATTACTAATTTTTAAGGTACAATATAATAGAAAAAGAAAAAGGGAAAAATTAAAATAAATAATGGTGGGTGCTTCCTTTTACCTCACAAGATAGAAAAATGTCTCCATAAATCCTCAGCCCAAAAAAGTATATCAAATATTTATAAAAAAGAAAAAATTAAGCAAAACTATATTTTTTTTTAAAAGTACATCTTTGTTGAATATAATAGATCCACAAACCAACTAGGGTTGTCTCGAGTAGTAAGTATTTCTTCATTCTTAATCAGATGTTTCGAGTTTGAGTCTTTCTAAATATGGAATCGTATTTGTTAGGGAGTGCTTTACCCCCTAATGTGAGATTTCTAGAAGCGAATTCAAATTTAATCGGACACCAATATAAATACCAACATCGAATTGAAAAACAAAAACAAATTAAAATAGATCCACAAGCCCGCAAAAATTAATTGCTAGAGGAATAGGGTAGACGACTTTGCTCTAAATTAATAGTAATACGGTGGACAATTGTAGTTTTTATCAATATATTAAAGAGAATGTTCATGAAGAATTTATAATTGAAGTAAACAAGAGATGATCATGAGTCTCAAGGTGGAGTTGTAGCTATGAAATTTTTTACATTTTTGTTAGTTCAAAAACCACGTCTGATCGTAAAATTTTGAAATTTTAAAAAATTTGAGAAATAATAATTAAATATTTTTACTCTAAATTACTCGCAAAAAAATGAAAACAACTCTAATTTATAATACGATCAAACACAAATTTAATCTTTTATTTTAAAAATAAAAATTAATTTTTTGAAATTTTACCATAAAATGGTCAAATGCCTACTTCTGGTCAAATAGGAAAATGGAACGTTAGGAAACAAATTCATATATGACTGAAAAGTTATTAGAAAAAGAATCCCAACTACTTTCTGTTTATAGACTTCTAGAAGCACAAATCAAAGCTTTATTTATAGAAAAAGAGTAAAAAAGAAGAAGATAAAATGAATGAGTTTTTTTTTTTTTTTTTTTTTTTTTTTTTGTGTTTAGTAATAAATAAAAGATATTACTTTTAAAAACTATATAATAAATATAAATAATTGAGAGGTAAGAATGAAACTTATTAAAGGGTGAGAAGAAAACAATGAATTTGAAATATTAGTTAAAGAACTTAATTTTTCTGACTTCCGCTAGAAAGTTATTTCTTCATTTCCAACAAATTTATTTTTTATAGAAGGCATAATTTATTTATTTTTATATATGTATTTTTTATTTATATTCAAAAATAAGAAAGAAAAATAGATTGCATAATCATGTAGTCAGTCAATTTATTTATTACCCTTATTTAGAAGAGGGAGTTGTGAAGGACTAACAAAACTCCAAAAAGTTGTTCCAAATGTAATTCAAGTTGTACTATGTTAGGGGCCCACTTTATTAAACAAGTATTGTACTAGCTTTGATAATACTTAAGTTTTAATGATAACTTGGCGTGTAATTTCTTTTAAGTCCTCACGTGTCTTTGTTAAAATTTATAGTTCCCGTGATATTGAAAATTTATGTGATAGGGTTTACTTCTGGCCAACATTGAACTCTCCATCTCTACTCACCTTTTCAATTTTCACTTTGTTATTCGTTCTCTCCATCATAGTAATGAAGTTGTTGGATTGAAGTTCCAATTTCTCTGCTTCTCAGGTATTCAATTATTTATCATTGTTACAAAATATCTTTTTATATCTTCTGATAGTTTCCTCAATTCTTCGAAAATGTTTCGTGATAGAAGCTTTTTAATGTTTCAGGGGAAGAAAGTGATAAGCTAGGTCATCGAAATGATGACGAAGCTGATGAAGGTTGCCTAGAATTGGAAGAAATTCCAACCAGAACACATACAACTTTTCCCCCAAAAGTCCAACTGCGTAAATTTATTGTAAAAACATTGTCTTTTCCTATTTAAAAGTAGTTCAAGAAAATTAGTCATTATTCCTGCGATTTATCTCTATAAGGATTTAATTGAACTTTATAAGTTGATTCCTCTTTCTTTGTTATTTCTGCATGTGTCGCATAATTTCAAGAGATGTTTTTTTTTCTTTTTTTATTTTCTATAATTGTCAGTTCTATTGTGATTTTGTCAAAGCATTGAATTTTAAGTTATAAGTTTGTAGCTAAGGTTTATATTAGTATTGTCATAACTTTTGAGGCTATGTTGAGAATGATGTCGGTAATTCATGATTTCAAATGATAATCGCCGCAATGATTCTTCTTAGTGTTTGTTTCTTAGTATATAAATTTGATAAATTTCAGTTGAATTTTGGTTTGATAGGTTTGATTTGTAGAGACAGTAAATTTCATAAACTGATCTCTTTATTTTTGTCAAAAATTATTTCAGTTTTTCAAGTGATTTAGCAAAGCATTTAACTTTTGGTTAGTATAGTCTGTATTAGAAGTGAGACTTTTGAAGGACGAACACATAGTCCACTAATTGTACTGCATAGATAATATTTTTCAGTTTTGCATCATTTTTATACGGTTCTCTTTGTGTCCTCATGTCTTTACTGAAGAACACATGTACGTATATTGCCATTGGTTGATCCCTTTAATTTCTTCTGATTTTAAGTTGTACTCCTCAGTTTCAGAGCATGTCCTCTTTTGTTCTTGACTCTTTCAAGTATCATATTTGTTTCAAGTTTCTTACCTTTCTTTTGCTCTCCTTTTTGTTTTTGCAGACATACCCATAACCGATCTGTTTGTTCTATGTGTTCCATGTTATTTGTGTGCATGCATATACAAAAATGAAGGGCAAAAAATTAGTGTACTAGAAGTAACAAGGTATGATTATGATTTCTCAATGATTAGTTGACTTGAGAAAGATTTTATATATAGGACTTAATTGGAGTGTATTATTCCTCAACACATGCACTTTTAATGAGAAGGTTTAATTATATCCTGCAGATTGATGCATTTGTGGGTTGCACATTAATTCCTAATTAATTAATGAAAGTTGCTATGGTTTTTCTTTTTCTTCTCCTAGATTGATTTTTAAAGCTAGCTAAAAGGAGCTCAAACGCTGATGGAGAATGTGGTTTTATTTTAAAGTTTTTTCACTTGAGAGGTTTTTTCCATGATTTACATTCACATGTAATTGAATTTTTGGATCGGTATATGATACAAATTAGGTCATCATCTTGAGCTAGAAAAAAGTGCTTAAGTTGAAAGATTAGTCAAGTCCTTACACTCACTTCTTGCCAATCTCTTACTATATTTAGAAGGATAAAAAGCTTAGCAAGGAACATGCATGTGTGGACTTTGAGCTTGACCACTGATCACATTGAGTTTACATCTGGAAGAAAAACTTTGATGCCGCTGTTGAGATATAAATCATTTATATCACATTTTAGTTCACACGGTTAGTGAGTCAGAGTTAGTTAGGAAAGTTGTTAGTTAGTTAATAGCTTAAAGTGTGTGTATATAATGATCAATTGTAATGTTCAGTTCTCTCAATTTTTACATTCAATGAAATATAATTTTCATGCAACTCTTCTAGATTCTTCTTCTCTCTTCCTCTTTCTTTCTTCTTCTCTCATGTGAGTTCAAGCTCCATCAATGGAGTTGATTGATCAGTAACAAGCTGTGCTGATTTTATCAGCCGCTAACATATTTCACAATATAAATTAAAAGAGTTAAATTTTTGTAGGAGCTTATTAGTGTGATTTAACGCTGAAAGACATTCAGGTGTGATTAGTTACCAAGATGGATTGATTGAGAAGAAAGATTTGCATGAAGTTCAAAAGAAATTTATTTGCTCAGTTGCCATGTGCCTCTATCATCATGTAAGCTGTTTGTTTGCCATGTGGCGTGAGAACTTTAAGCTTCTGGTATATGTCACTTTTATTTATTAATGACATTTGTTCAAAGTACTTATGTAAATGATGTAATTTATTATCCATATCTATTAGCGTCACCTATGAGAGCTATTATGGTATCCCCATTCATCCATCTTTAACTATTATGAAAATATATACTTGTAGAAAGTTGAGTTCGACTATAGCTGTAAACGAAACAATTATTTTTGTTTCAAGTTATATGACTTGATATTGGCATCGACCCTTTTTGGAGATCGATATTTTTGTGTGATCTTGCAATGGTGATCCTTCACAACAAGGGTCTATAAAGCTTATTTCAATATTTTTTAACACTAATATTGCAGCTACTAATATTACTGCAGCTTCACAAATCACAATTGATATAGTTGTCAACACAATGATTCAAAGATGAATCCTATTTTCATATCAATGACAATAATTTCCCTAAAATTCAACTTAACTTTGGTTTGCTTTTTTTTTTTTTCCAATTTCTATCGCATCAGGTTTTCGAAGAAAGAAGCATTGCTTTTAACTTCCTATAGGCCCTCTCCTCTAATGTTTCAGGAAGAAGCTTAAGAGAAGTCATTAAAGATCCTCTTTTGACTATGGAAAAAAGATGCATGCCAATTATATTTTTGAAAGCATTATAGTGTTTGGCTTTAGTTCTTGCTATTTTTGTATACATCACTTTACGCGATGTATTGATTGGATACAACATTTTATGTATTGTATCGGGACATACGCGATGTATCAGGACGTTGAGTGATATATCCAAAATTGAGATGTGATGTATTGTGACGTCAAACGATGTATTCAAAACTGAGACGCGGTATATCGGAACATTTTGGGATGTATCCGAATTCCACCAATTTAAAGAATTTTTGTAATTTGGAAAAAAGTATGGATATGATGTAATTAACTCTTAATATTATGGAATTTGTATAAAATTATCTTTTTTAAGGGTCATGAGCATCAGATGTTGGGCCCGTGACCAATCTAGTATTTATACATGCAAAAGTTCTTTTAAACAGATATTTGAACATTTTCTTAATTTTATGTTATTTGGTTTCAAACAGAGTTATCTAAAGATTTCATGATTATAATCATGTGATTTTCATTTCACATTTAATATGGAGTTAGTTAAGGCAAAGATCTTGTTATAGAATTTATGTCCGTTTAGCAAATATCGATGACTAAATTGTTAGATTATGTAAAAAAATAAATTGGGAAGTGTTAAATGGCCAGAAAATTTGGCCAGAATTTGGCCAGAAAATTAAAAAGGAAAAATCACCCCATATATCTATTTAAGGCTTAATATTACAGTCTTTAGATGTACTTTTTTTATATTACTATTTATAACAGTTTAATTACAAGTATTAACAGATTAGTTTTAATTTATAATTTAATTAATTTAATTAATTAGTTATTATTTTTATAATTATATTAATTAATAATTAAGAGAAATAACATTAATATTAGAGAATCAATTGTCATTATCTCTTACACCATTTTAGGGTTTTTTTTTTAGATTTCACATAGCAAACCCCACACCCCCACACCCACGTTTCTCTTTTACAGAGAACTAACTTTTTCTCTCTCACCATCCTCAACTTTCGTCTTCTTCATTCAAAAAGAAAATCAGTAGAACTCTTTCACATTTATATGATTTAATGGTGGGATCAGATCTACACACGAACAATATAGAGAAAGCAGTTGATAAACTTGCCACAATTATACCATTATTTTTAGCTAGCACAAGATTTTATGGTAAAAGACTTGACCTCTATTCCAATAAACTACCTGCATATGTTGACAAGCCTCAATCCAAGCTCAAAGTTGTATTTATAAAGAATGTGCCTCAACAAGATCCAAACTCAAAGTATGTATTCATATCTTATTGTGTTTTGTTCATAATAAATAATTCACTTTCCTTCTCAATTTTTTTCTTCAATGTTATTTCAGCGATTGCGGACTATACACATGTCTCTTTGCTAAATATATTAGCAATGGAGTTTTTTATATGAGTCTCATTCACATTGATGCAAAGTACCACCGTAAAAGGTACGCCACAATCATGTGGCAGTATGGAAGAAGCAGGAACGTTGATGGCACAATTAGTGAAAGTGAAGTAATTGGAATGGTTGCTAGCAAATTTGGTGGACCCTGCATAGCAAAAGAACATGCTTTCGGATACTACCAATTATCCTACATCAAGACCAAGAAAATGAACTTTGAAATACTTGTTTGTAGTTTAGACTTTTAATTATTACATGTTTTGATTTTGAATGATGTATATTTCTTTTTCTACAGTTTTTTACAACAATATACTATATGCATTGTTTTACATTGTCAGTTTTATACCGGTTGGATATCAATTTCATACAATTTTTAATTTTAGTCTTTGTTTTAAAATTTCAAGTTGGATACCAAGTGACTTGTTTTAGATTGTCTAATTTGGTTGAAATATCAATTACATTTTGTTTTTTTCTATTTTTCAATGGAATATATCTATTGGCTACCAATTGGATACAACATTAACTTGTTTTAGGTTGTCTAATTTGGTTGAAATCTCAATTACATGTTGGTTTTTCAATTTTTTCAATGAGATATCAATTTTTCCTCAGTAGTGCTCGAACCAGTAAAGCTTGGAGGATTCTTCATCAAGATCTCATGAATCCTTGAAGTGTCAGCCTCTTCTTGTCGAGCTCCTCTCTGATGCCCAGCTTGGTTGGTCACAACTTGACTGAGCAACCTCATAGCCTCTCTGAACTGAGCATTTGTAACTTCTCCTTGCGGTTGCACTTCAGGTGCAGTAGGTAAATCTTGTTCCTCAACATTCCTTCTAGCTAGACGACCTCTGACTGCTTTTCGTGGAGTCATGATTATCTGAAACACGCGTAAGCACGAATTAGAAGGAAACTTTTAGAGCTCAAACTCTAACACACGAAATGAGTGTGAAGAAGTGAGAAATTTTCCTAAATGTTGCAGCCTCCTAATTATAGATGTGGCGCGATTCACACCGATAACTAGGACTCTACAGACACGGCTTCTTGAGAATACCTAGTTCCCTAATAGATTTTTGAGAAATGAACTCAACTTTTTACTCTTTGCTTAACTTGAAAACTGGAGTCTTAAAATGAATTTAAAACATTGTTAAAGACTCTTGAAAACTTTAAGAAACTTTGCTCTGACTTGCATCTTAACTTCTAGACTTGACTCTAAACTTCTTTAACTTTGATCTTAACTTTCCTTGAATTGAATTATGGATTCAAGGTTCATGATCTCACGTTTATGGATGATTTCATAATGTTTAGATGTACCTTAGAGTGTTAGAATCAACTAGGAAACATAAGTACATCGCTTAGAAACTAGCACGAAAAGATGGGGAAGAATGGGATGAACTGGTGTCCTTGGCGCTCTGAGAGGCGTGGGCCGTCAGGCCCCAAACTTCAGAGAACAAGTTGGGGAGCGCTGGCTGGCGCGGCTCCCCAAGGGGTAAACGTCAGAGATTCTTTTGGGGGGCGCTGGCTGGCACGACGCCCCACCCTTTTCCCCAGAAAAATCCGACTTTTCTCCTTCGTTTTTCATCTCTAAACCCTCTAAACTTCCATAGTTCTTTCCCCAAACACTTAGGATCATTAGTACCCTCAATACCAAATAGATTTAACTCGAAAAATCACCCGGAAACACGAATCAAATCAACCCTAGACATTCAACAATCAACCATCAAGAATCCAACAATGTTCTTTAAGAACTTCTCTTTCTTAACATTCAAACAAGTCCAATTTTTGCTAAATTGAAACAAGTTTGGCGTGTGGGTGAACTAACCCAACACTATGTGATCTCACATACCTTGTAGGGATCACCCCCGACGAATTCCACTCGCAAAGCTTGAACGTTCTTGGCGATTTCTTGATTTCTCTCCTCTTTTCTCTTCTTTCTTCTCCTCTCCAAGCCCTAGCGTATATTCTAATTTTCTAAAACTGAATACAGTCTTGTTTTACCCCAAATAAATTCCTAAAAACGAAATAGAGAAATTAGGTAAGGAAAAGACTAGTTTACCCTTCCAAAACTCGGATTAGACTTTCCTTAATCTAACAGCCCAACTTCCAAAGGGAATAACTTACTCATACGAACTCGGAATCGCGTAAACTCGGCGTCGTTGGAAAGATCATACCAAGAGATTTCCAACCATATCTGGAACTACACCTAACTCATCCTGAGCTAGGAGTTATGGTCATTTGAAGTTGACCAAAAACTCACTTTAACTTACTTAAAATTTTCCAGATTTCCTTACACTTTCCAAAAATGACTATTTCCAGATTTTTAAACTTCTTTCTAGTTGCGAGATGTTACAAAATGTATACCAGTTGGATACAACATTAACTTGTTTTAGGCTGACTAATTTAGTTGAAATCTCAATTACATGTTGGTTTTTTAATTTTTCCAATAGGATATCAATTGGATACCAAATTTATACTAATTGAATACAAATTAACTTGTTTTAGGCTGACTAATTTAGTTGAAATCTCAATTACATGTTGTTTTTTTCAATTTTTCCAATGAGATATTAGTTTGATACCAAATGTATACCAATTGGGTACAAAATTAACTAGTTTTAGGCTGACTAATTTAGTTGAAATCTCAATTACGTGTTATTTCAATT